TATATATATATATATTCTAATTATATCAAATAGAAATTAATTACGTTAATGTTGGTTAGAAAATGCTGAGAAATTGCTATTTGTGAGTAAAACACAGTTTAAAAAACCTTATCCTGTCATCATTAACAGCTGGAAAAATCATGGAAATTAATTTGCCATAAAGAGTGTGAACCATGAAGAACAATCAATTCTTAAAACTTCTGGAATTATTGGATTTAATTATTTTAACATAGTGCCAATCTTAAGCCAGGCACACACTGTATGATTTTGGCTACGATTTGGCCGTCTGAGACACATTTCTCAAATCCTAAAAGATTCCTCCGATCCTAGGCTAAAATCTGTAGTCATTGATCATTAGTTTGACATGTTTACCGACAACCAGATGGATGACCGTTGCAAATTTTACTTCCAACAAAATTCTGGCAGTGTCAGAAGATTTTCCGCACAGTCCTGCAGTGTGACTTCTCCTGCGACAAATGTCAAACTTTCATAAACTTTTCATGATAGCCAATATTTCAGCCCCACGTGTGCAGCTCACAGTCACTGAACGTGTATGGGTTGATAATGTAAAACTCCGGACAAGTTTTCTTGTGCGCATGTGTTTTTAACACATCTTGACTGTCGTACAGTCTGACATTAATGACAACTGAGATCCCACTGTGTGACATGTTCGTACAGTCTGACAAGCAACAATTGTAAAGGACTATTAAAAAATCTGCACAGTGTGTACCTAGCTTAAGTTTCTAAAAATAAAAAGGTCAAAACTATTGAGATTCACTGCTATAACTCATCTGTTTTTCTTTTCAAACATCTTTCTGGACACTTTCTGTTTGCTCGTAATGACTGTCTCTACTGCAGCAACCTTCACTCCAGTTCAGTCTCATACATTGGTCAGACACCAGCTGCATTGCCCTTCTGGCCAGAGGGTGGCGCCACACCAGCTCATCATCCAGCAGAGCTCTACCGCTCAAAGACAGGTCCAGCCCATTGCGCTGCGTGTCATGCCGCAGGACAGCTGTCCTCCACCCCTTGCCCTGCAGTCCCGTACCACTCCCACTACAGCCACCGTCCAATCACAGCACACGGAGTTCCTCTCAGTGCCCTCCTCTGCAAATCATCCCAGCAATCAGTCAGCAGTGGTTTCTACATCCACAGCTCCCCCTGCAGTGCTCCCTGACCCTCCACCGCTTCATCTGGGCCCAGTACTAGAGCCGGTCTCCCAGTATTCACCTCTGTCCAGCCCCACTCCTCTCACCATGGCTCTGCCCAGGCTGGTCCAGCCACAGAGACTGCCTCTACGCTCAGTCCAGACCGTAGCTGTCCAGTCTGACCACATGCTGGTGTCTGAAGAGGAGCTCCCAGTCGCTGAAGCAGTAGTTCAGTTGCCTTTTCAGAATCTTCCGCCACCACAGACAGTGGCAGTGGACCTAAAGGTGCAACCTGCCACACAAACAGAAGCTCCCTCGGTTAGTCTTATTCAAAACAGTTGAAAAACTATACATGTACCTTATATATATATATATATATATATATATTAAAGACTGGTAAAGTGGTCTTCAGTTTCTGCAGAACTCTGACCTGACCTCTACTCTAACCATAGCTGATCTGGACCAACCGAGCATACCATCGAGCAGATCTGTGATCCGGTCACCAGAGGACCCCACATATGCCAACAGTTCCCCCCCTCCCCTCCTCTCCTCTGCGGTAAGAAGCACCAGCAGGCTTCCCCCAGCCAGCCTTCCAGGGAATCCTGAGGGTCGGCCCTCACAGGCCATCGTTAGACCTCACATCCTCACACACCTCATTGAGGGCTTCGTCATCCGAGAGAGGACCCCACATATGCCAACAGTCCCCCCCTTCCCCTCCTCTCCTCTGCGGTAAGAAGCACCAGCAGGCTTCCCCCAGCCAGCCTTCCAGGGAACCCTGAGGGTCGGCCCTCACAGGCCATCGTTAGACCTCACATCCTCACACACCTCATTGAGGGCTTCGTCATCCGAGAGGCCCTGGAGCCGTTCCCGGTATGAAAGTGAAAGTGAACGTGACGTGACATGTAGCCAAGTATGGTGTCCCATACTCAGAATTTGTGCTCTGCATTTAACCCATCCAAATGCACACACACATCAGTGAGTAGTGAACACATACACACACCATGAACACACACCCGGAGCAGTGGGCAGCCATTTTTTCTGCGGCACCCAGGGAGCAGTTGGGGGTTCGGTGCCATGCTCAAGGGTCTCAGCTCAGTCGTGGTATTGAGGGTGGAAGAGAGTGCTGGTCATTCATTCCCCCCACCTACAATCCCTGCCAGTACCGTGACTCGACAGCTACTTTTGGCTTACAAGTCTGACTCTCTAACCATTAGGCCACGACTGCCCCCTAATGTCCACTGGTTGACAGCGTAGCAATTCGCAGCTGCCATGAGGCCCTAATGAAGTCCATGGTTCTCTAGTGTTGCCGTGAAGCTCAAAGATCCCTCACTCCCTGAGAGCAGAGAGTAAGACGGCGCGGTGAGGGTCTGCCACCAAACATTCAGATCAACCAGTTATTGAAGTCCCCTTTGGGACCCCTCACAAAGTGCTCCATACTTTTTGAAGTCGAAACCACAAAAAGCATCTAAAAAACTGAGTAGATCCAATATTGATGTGCTGGTCTTTTTCATCAGGTGAGACATGCTTCCTTAGAGATGAACCTGCAGGCCACACTGCCAGAAGATAGAGAGAATGGAGAATCAGCACAGGATGACTGCCTGATGGATGCGGACCAACCAGAGAACTCCACCGATTCCGACATTGATAACCCACCTGCTGAGGATGGTGGGCTCATTAGCACATTCCTTATTTACACATTCATGTCAATATGAGCATTTCTTGCAGAATCCCTTCTTCTTTCAGAACAGACAGTTGAAAACCTGCCTGACATACTCGAATGCGAGTTCTGTGGGAAGAGAGGCTTTGCTCGTACCTTCCTCAGGTCCAAACGCTTCTGCTCCATGACATGTGTCAGAAGGTAAAGAGCCCTATAGGTAGCATTAATGACACTTTTTGTAGTTTTTAGTGTCGGTGGAATTATTATTATTTTTGGGATTATTATTGCTCGTACTTTAGGTTCAAGGATTGCTCTAAAGCTCTAAACCTTAGTATTGAACTTTGGCGTGTAACTCATTCTTTACCATTTGTGTCAAAGACATGAATGGTTGTTGAGGAGAAGTGTGCCATTACATTTCTCAGTGACATTTTTTTTTTTTAAATATTGCTTAGACTTACAATAAAAGAGGGAAGTAAGATCAGTCTGGTTGCCATTTTCATATTTTTATGTGTATTTTGTGATACGGAAAGAAAAGTTTTGGGTCGGTAAGATTTTTGATTGTTTTTGGAAAGTTTCACCGAGGCTGCATTTATTTGATCAAAAATACAGTAAAAAAAAAAAAAAACGCAATATTGTGAAATATCATAACCATTTAAAATAAAAGTTTTCTATATTTTAAAATATAGTTTATTCCTTTGATGGCAAAGCTGAATTTTCAGCAGTCATCAGTGTCACATGATCCTTCAAAAGTCATTCTAATATGCTGATTTGGTGCTCAAGAAACATTTGTTATTGTTAGCTATGTCGAAAACAGTTGTGCTGCTTAATATTTTTGTGAAAACCATGATGCATTTCTTTTTTTTGTAGGATACTTTGATAAATAGAAAGTTCAAAAGAACAGCATTTATTTGAAATTATTTTTGTAACAATGACCAATTAAATGCATACTTGCTGAATAAAAGTATTAATTTGTTAAAAAAAATTCTTTCTGACCCCAAACTTTTGAACAGTAGTGTACATATATTCATGTCTGTAAGAATGTATGCGTATAACGATGAAAACACATTTAAGATATATGCCTTTTTGCCAGTCCAATCTGGCATAAACATACTTTTTTACTGAATTCAACAAGTTTGTGTTCATAAAATTGTACACTGCAGCACACACAGCCTTGTTCATCTCTCACTCCTCACAGATTCAATGTAAGCTGTAAAAAGCGCCTGAACCTGTTTAGCTCAGAAAAAGTTGGCCACTGGCCACACAGGCCCATGGGCAAGCGGGGGAGACCACCTAGTCACATAAACAGCAGGTCCAGGGAACACTTCCTCAGGCAGGTCAGTGAAAACTAACAAATAACCATTTAACCAAACTATACAATCCAGTGCAATAGCATTATTAATAAGTGGGAGTGACCTACTGTAACACATTATTTCCTCAGCAGCTGCAAGAATCCCATCGTACCAGCAACAACCCGAGAGTCTCGAATTCAATTTGGATTGAGAGAGAAGAGGAGGAGGATCCACCAGGCCCGATGACGACAAGGCTGCGTTTGCAGGCCGAAAGAGAGAAGGAGCAAGACAGAGAAAGGGAACAGAGCAGAGTGGAGAGCAGCAGCAGCTCTGACTGTCTTCTTGACTCAAGTCCCTCACAGTGGAGCGTGGAGCAAGTGTGCTCCTTCATCGGCTCTTTACCAGGTAGCTGCACAGCTTTCAGAAGCTCAGTTCACCTTCTGCTGAGTGGGTCACTAAAACGTTTGAATGTAGAGTGAAGTGTGAAAGCTGTTTTCCATTCAAGCTTTAACTTTTTAGTATAGCCTATATAGCCTGGTTAGTATAGTAGTTAGTATATAAAGCTGATATTGGAGTCAGTAAGATTTTTTTATACTAATTAATACTAGTTAGATATTAGATATTTTTAAAACTTGCATTAGAAATTAATTTAATTTATATAATTTATGCATTTAGCAGACGCTTTGACTTACAGTATATTCAGGCTACACATTTTTTACCAGTATGTGTGTTCCCTGGGAATTGAACCCATGACCTTTTACACCGCTAACGCAATGCTCTACCACTGAGCCACAGGAACACATTAATATTAATTAATATAAAATTAATACTAGTATTCAGCAAGAATGCATTCAATTGTTAAAAAGTGAGACTTTGTTACAATGTTACAAAAGAAATGCTGTTCTTTTTCTATTTATCAAATCCTAACAAAACAAAATATGAAGCAGCACAACTGTTTTCAACATTGATAAGTTTCTTGAGCAGCAAATCAGCATATTAGGATTTCTGAAGGATCATGTGACACTGAAAACGAGTAATGTCTGCTGAAAATACAGCTTTTCATCATAAATTACATTCTAAAATATATTAAAATTATAAAATTGTTTTTTTTATTGTATCAAATACAGCCAATATAGATCGATAAGATAGGATGGATGGATTCTGCCAAATTGATAACATAATGTCATAGATTTCTGTATGATCTTTAGAATCATGTGCTAATCTCCTCCACTTGCTCTAAGGGTGCCATGATATTGCTGCAGAGTTCTGCTCACAGGAGATTGACGGACAGGCCCTGTTGCTGCTTACGGAGGACCATCTCATGAGCGCTATGAACATTAGACTGGGCCCTGCGCTCAAAATCTGTGCGCAGATCAATGCTCTCAAAGAACATTAGACAGGCTCGTCTTTCCACTCTCAGTATGTGGGTCATATTCGGTCACACAGTATTCTCGAGTCAGATTCCTCTAAAGTGCCATGATATCAGTATGTGGCCATTCTACAAATACTGTAGACACCTTCTTCATATACCTCAAAGTTTCATGATATACTTATTTTGGAATTCATTCCATTCGGTGAAAAGTTTTATAGTAACTAAAATTAATTCTGATCTTGTATATTACATTTATAGTTAACAGACCAACTGGAAAGGCAGATTATGAAGAATGAGAAATGATGAAACTGAGCAGCCACAGGAAGCTGGTGCATAATGTACAAAGTATTTTTATTTTTTTTTAAACCATTTACACAACACTGTTTAAATATAAAAATAACTCTTTTCAAATTATGTAAATGTTTACAAAAACACAGAGTATCTAATATGTTGAAAAATAAAGATTTATTGATAAACATCAATTGCAAAGTCCTGAATATTTTTTTTTAATGTACATTAGTCCAGAATTCAGTTGCATTAAAATGCAACAACTTTGGCATCTTTTCGTACATCAGTGTAGAAAAAGCCTCTATGCAAGGAAAAGTTATAGTGAATTGTCAGGTGGCTAAAAAGGCAGCACATTTTGGAGACATCAGTTATGTTGATTGTAACGCAGCTTAACAGTGTTCAATTAGTTACAAACACCCAAACACACACTTAAGCATTTTCAAAACAAGTAGCAACCACATGTGTGTTACTCTGAGGAATACCACATTATTATTATTAAAATGTTGTATTTATGTATTAGCACAAGGCATTTACTTATTATACACTGCACACATTAAAAGCACCAGATTTTGCTGACTTCAAGCATCAAGATGTCAGAGATATACCATTCAGCTCATAAAGTCTGAGATTTGATAAACATTTAACATCAGGTTAAGTTATTTACAAAGCTTTTTTTTTTTTTGCCATGAAAAATCATTCAATTCAACCATCATTCATCTAATTTTCTTTGATACTATGATTAGAAAGAAAATATTCCTATTCATAAAAGTTAATGTATGTTTAAGCCGTCACTGCCTATGATGCCGGGTGATTTCCTTGAGCTTCATCTGCTGTTCAATCATCATGTCAAATTCCTGTCTTTCTCTAAAACACAATGAAATAAAAACAGCTGCAAGTTACACAGATGCAAGATTCATTTTTTCAAGGCAAGTGAGTTCACAAGTACTCTACCTGTTACTAAAGCACGGCCCTCTGCGATACTTCTCCTCTGCCTTCTCCAGGGAAAGCTTGTGGACTCCAGCAATGGCATAGATAATGGCCTAAAACGCAAAACTGTCACTGAAGCATGGCAATGCATGATGCTAGAATGTGGTTGGTTCGAAGTATTAGACACTACCGTTCAAAATTTTGGAGTCAGTAAGTTATAAAATTTTTAAAAACTTTTATTTAGCTAGGATGCATTAAATTGATCAGAAGTGACAGTAAAGACTGTTACAAAGGATTTTGTTTCAAATAATTGGTTTTCTTTTGAACTTTCTATTTATCAAAGAATCCTGGGGGGAAAAATTCTGTATCATTGTTCTCTATAAAAACATTAAGCAGCACAACTGTTTTCAACAGTGATAACTGAAGTTTATTGAGTACTGAATTAGCATATTAGAATGTTTTTTTGATCTATCATGTGACACTGAATATTGGCGTAATGGCTGCTGAAAATTCAGCTTTGCATCACAGAAATAAATTACATTTTAAAATACAGAAAACAGTTATTTTATTTGGTAATATTATTTCACAATATTACCTTTGATTAAATAAATGCAGCCTTGGAGAGCATAAGAGACTAAAACCTTACTAACCCCAAAAGGAAGTGTTAATGAAGGCGATTACCTCAGGCAGAAGCACATCAAGAATAAGGCGGATCCGGTCAGCTTGAATGTTTTCTAGGCAGGTGTTTATTTGAGGGGCGCTATCACAGACTTTGTTCAGGTAGCGGTACACCTTATCAACCTGCTCCTCATCTTCCAGGTAGACATCAACCACTGGGCGAGAAGGCTTCTGGAGGGCTTGCATCCATTTAGAGGACTCACGGCCGCTGATGACTGCCTGTGAGCACCAGACAGAAGGGTTAGTTGTTAGGGATGGGCGATATGGACTTAAAACTATATCACGGTATTTTCCGGTATTTATTGCGATAACGATATCAATGACAATAATTCATATGCATCCACTGTGAGACAAAAAAAACCCTCCTGTTTCTTCAGAGAGAAGTATTATCTACATATACATTATCGCAACAGGTTTGTAAACAGGCTCATATACATGCAAAACTGTATCGCACATGTGCTACTGTAGTACATTTATTTGTTGGACAGGCTGTTTTTTTGTCGCACTGTACAGCCCTGACCAAACCAGTTCCAGATTGTAGAAGCAACTCCTCATTTAGAGATAAATTCCTCAGTTTCACGTCCGCCTTCCACCATGTCATTTCACACGGTTGCACACATAAATATGTCAACAACTAGGTTTTATCGTTCTTACTAATTCTTATCGTGGGGAGAATTTTTACCGTTATATTGCAAACGATAAGATATCGCCCATCCCTATTAGTTGTGCATTTCAGAGTGCATACATTTGTCTGTCACAATGGAAATGAACATTTCTCAAATTAAAAAAATACTGGAATTATAAATATATTTATGAATATATCAGTAGAAATCATACCAATAAGCGGCTTTCGACTTTTCGTCTGATGATGAAGTCAACCAACTGCTTGTTGGCGCGGTTGCGTGCAGCCTTGGATCGGTCGGGCAGCACTTTCTTGGAGAGGAGCTGATCTTGCTCTTCCATGATGATGTCCTCTGTGTTATTATCAGAGTTGTCACACTCCATACCCAGAATCTCCTGAATGGGGAAGGTCAGCACTGATTTCCTCTCTGAGTATTTCCTCCGCACTGGACAACCTGTGACCATCGGATCAAAACAGCACTTCTGTTAAACCAGCACTGGTGAATGAGAATGACTTGATTTATAATGAGATTTTAAACTGGTTTACATTGAGTAGCGACTTTAATTGTAAATTTTCATAGTTATGATTAAAATTAACAATCAATTAACTGATTGTTAAAGTACCATAAAACATGGAGTACTAGTGCATGTAATCTATTTTTTTAAGTACTACTTAATCTAAAAATCTAAGTATTGGTAGCTTCCTTTTAAATTGTTTTTTAAACTGTAACATTCATATTTAATACAAACATAATTTGTTTCATTTAACATTATTTTATTACTATTAATAAATGAATAAACTCACAGGTACTTAAATGAATCATTAAAATTTTATTTATTAACAAATTAACCACCTGTAATACGCACTATACATAAATCTTTTTTATTTGTGCACATTTTTTTTTTTTACTTATAGCATACAATGACAATAGTCTTATAACTGACAGTTTAACAACTAATTAATTATCACCCCAAACAACACAGCTATTAAAAACATGTTAGATGAGTATGAAAATCTATAATGAAAGGAAACCTACTGATGTCAGCAGCACAGTATTCGATGAAGGAGCCAGAGAAGGATCCACATCCTGCCAGAAAACATCTGAATTCAATATTTGAATTTCAGCTTTTCAGACAACATTTTTTGTAAATAGATTGCGTTTTAAAAAGGTGACTCTGCTAAACACTAGTTTTACTTTATTAAAATGTTTAAATGTACTTTCAAGTTCTAAAAACAAACAAACAATCAAACAGAGATAAATACCAATGCGGATCCTATAGTCCGATATCAGTTCCAGAGACCAGGTAATAGCATTGCCATACTTCTCTTTTGCAATGTCCTATATAAAATAAATACACATTTTTCTTTAAAAAATGTCTTGAAGTATATTCAGTATAGCAAATGTTTACTAATGGCAGGAATATGAAAATAGTAAGTACGCAATCAGAAAAAGCTAAATCAAAAGCAAGTCAAAGAGACTTTACCACCAATTTTTCATATTCTTCACAATCAAAAGGTTTTAGGGTTCGCAGAGATACAGAAAACCTATGGATAAAACAATGTTAAGATGTGAAGATGTTAAGACCGATCAAATTTACTATGTGGTGTACTATATGCATATATATATATTCTATATACACCATAGACTGTATAAAAACAATACACACATATACACACACTAAAAACAAGTGATATTAAGACACTGATGAATTCTTACCCTTTTCTAATTCTCTTTTGGTCGATTAGGTAACAATCAATAAATACAATGCTGGCTTTTTTGTTCTTGCGATTCACACTTTTAACCTGTGGCACAGATGAGCAACTTGTCATCAACTACAGTCTAAAATCAAGAGTTACAAACTGCACAACATTAGGGGTGGGAGAAAAAAAATCGATTCTCCGATGCATCGCGATTCTCTCTTCAACGATTCTGAGCTTGGGGTTTTTTCCCCACAAATGGCACGTGTGCGCGCTAGAGACGCGGCGGGCTTCATTGCACAGAATTTGCGCTGTGAGACACGTGCGCATTGCTTGACAGTGTGTGCTTCCACCCGCCGTGTTTTACTTTAGATATGCATTAATTTATGCAGTTTGGAATGCAGTACTACTAGATGCACGCAACTCGCGCACTTACGGACTTTCATGTGCGCTTTGTGTTTGATGTCCTGAAGCTCGATATCGGCTGCGGTTAAATGCACTTGCATCTCCGAATACTTTTATATGAAATTGATGTAAATACAGTCAGTTATGTTTTCAGAGCAGGACAGAACATCTGATATATCGAAATAGATCTGTGCATTAGTGTAAATGCAGCCTGTTAAAACTGCCACTGTCTTTGATCTCATCAATAATAATCAAATGGCAATAATGCTGAGGAAAAAAGAAAGCCTCATAACTAGCCTATTTTCTGTAAACTTTCAAATACTTAAAGAACACTTATTTTAAAGAAGTAATTGTTTTAAAAAGTAGTCTGCTTATATAATAAAAAATAATGTTAATTTTGCGCAAATTAAATTTGATATAAAATGTATATGAAAATGTAGCCATGTGCAGTAATATTGAAAACTGAGAATGTGACACATCGTGATATTAAGTTGATAATGATAATCGTAATTGAATTGAATCGTGAAACCTGACATACAAAGATTCCAACTATAAACAAAAAGCATAGAAACTGCAATTTTGGTTAAAATGTAAAGTTGTAAAGATGTATTTGCACAGCAGAATAATTAATTAGGAAAAAATGTAGATCAAGAATCGTTGTGGAATCGGATCGTGACTCCCAGAATCGGAATCGGATCGGATCGTGAAGTGCCTAAAGATTCCCACCCTTACA